AGGAGGAGGAGGAGGAGGAGGAGGAGAACTCTGGGGTCCTTGGTGCTTTCTGAGTTTGGTGGTTTCTTGCAGACATTTCCTGACCCAACTGGGTAACATCATCAGTGCTAGAAGGAAGGAGCGTTTGGGGAGAGGAGGAGGATTGTGAAGTCCCTAATGCTTGCTGAGCTTGATGGTTTTCATGCAGACGTTTCATGGCCCAACTAGGGAACATCATCAGTGCTAGAAGGGAGAGGGGTTTATGGAGGGGAGGAGGAGGAGGAGGAGGAGGAGGAGGGTTCCTCGGTGCTCTCTGACCTTGCTTGTTTTTCTGCAGACCTTCCATTACCCTACTAAGCGACACTATCAGTGCCCATAGGGAGTGGGGTTTGCTGATGTTACCTAGTTGAGTAATGAAATGTCTAGGAGCATCTAAGTGAAAAGTTCTAGAATCTGTTTCATCTGGTTCCAATTACCGGCCTTGACCCTAAATTAGGTCGAATTCTCCTGAGTACAGGCTGTAGGGAAGAAACGCGTGGTGCTTTTGGAACTCCATCCCGGCGCCTGATTTCTTGCGCCTAGCAGAGACCAGCTGCCTGTTTACCTCCAAGGGGGTCGCCAGCCAGCGTTTCAAAGTGGTTCTTGAGGTATCTCTCTGGCTCCGGTGTCTGGGGCAGCGACCCGTTCTGAGAGAAGTTCTCCTCCAGGTGGGCCACCTCGGCATCAGGCTCTGCCGGGAGGAAAAACAAAGGGGGGGCTCAGGTGCTGGGGGGGGGGGGGGATACGGGTAGTCCTGGACTTAACGGCCACAATTTCTCTTGCTAAGCGGGGCGTCTGTCAAGCGACTTCTGACATTTCTTCCCACAGTTGAGAAGCGAATCGCTAACAGCTGTGAAGTGAATCGTGTGGTCGTTAAGCAAATCTGGCTTCCCCATTGACTTCTCAGAAGGTTGCAAAAGGGGATCACGTGACGTGACCCCCAGGGACACTCTGACCGTCGTAAATGTGAGTCAGGTGCCAAGCGGCTGAATTTGGATCCTGCAATGCTTGTTAATCCTGCCACTCAGCCCGTGAGGTCCCTTCCAGGGAACTTACCTTCGTGCTGGTCCCCAGAAACAGGTAGATCAGCACCCAAGGGAGCTCCAGAGCGGATTACCTCAGGTGCCCTGTCTTTCGGGCTCAGGGCTTCCTCCTGAAAGAGAGGCTGGAGGACTGACCTTCACAAGAGAGAGAGAGGGAGAGGGAGAGAGAAAGGAATGAGACTGCTGGTGCTTCTCCCAGCGAGACTGGCCAAAATCTACTCAAATTTGAATCCAAAATGTAAAAAGACACCTTCTTTCATATGTGGTGGTTGTGCTCTAAAGCAAATAAATTTGGGAACAAAATAAGGATTTGGCTGCAAGAAATAACTGGGTTAAAAACAGAACTTTAAGCCTGAAATGTTCCTATGAGGGATAATTAGAGGTGATTACAAGAAAGAATTTCTTGAAGAAATATATAATAATACACATATTGACAGGAGCTAAAATAACCTATGCTCAAAATTGGAAATCAGAGAGTAGACCCACAGATAATATAATAAAAAAAAATTATGGATTATGCGGAAATGAATAAACTTACAATGGAATTGCAGGAGAACAAAAAGAATACTATATGGACTGGGAAAAAGGGTCTCTTTGGTTAGATAACAGGAATAAAAGACAATGTAAAATGTAAGTGTAAATGATGTATATATGTATACGTATAAATAAATGAATATGGAAAAGTCGATGCCACAACTTGCTGCAAAAATTGTAAATATGATTTGTTTTTAAAATTGTAAAATTTAATAAAAGAATTTCTTTTTTTTTTGTAAAAAAAGAGATTGCTGGTGCTTCTCAACAGTGGATCTACCCATCCAGGTGTCCTACAGAACCTGAGAGGTGAGACTGAAGAGGTGAGGACAACGCAGACCTTCTGCCCCGGAGTCTGTGGTCCTCTCACATTTCAGAACAAAACAGGACACAGCAGGGGTCTCCAACCTTGGCCACTTTAAGCCTGAAGGACTTCAACTCCCAGAATTCCCCAGCCAGCAAGATAGGAGACCTCTGGGCCAAAGGACCAAGCTTCTTGCACAGCCTTGTTGCTTGAGTCTGGGACAGCTTGCTCGGTGAGCCGCCTTGGGATTTCTGTCTGAGAACTTAAGAGTCTGCAGAAAAGTCCCTTGCTTATCAAGGGAGACCGAGGGGAGCAAGCGGCCAGTTTTAAGTTTCTGGGTGTTACCCTAAAAGAGGACCTGACCTGGGGTGCCCACATTGTAGCCCTGGTCAAAAGGGCCCAGCAGAGATTCTACTACCTGAGGCTTCTCAGGAAACAACAATTGAATGGAAAACTGCTGGTGACCTTCTACTGCTGCACCATAGAGAGCATTTTAACTTAACTGCACCTCTGTATGGTTTGCCAACTGCACAGGGGCAGATAGGATGGCACTCCAGAGGGTTAAGGTCATTGCCCAGAGGATCCTGGGTTGCCCTCTCCCCTCTTTGGAAGAGCTTTAGAGCTCCTGCTGCCTTCAGAAAGTTCAAAACGTCCTCAAAGATCCATCTCATCCTGGGATCCCTTTTTTTTTTAACTATTATCATCTGGAAGAGAGTACAGGACAATAATAAAAACAAGGACAAACAGGCTGAAAAACAGCTTCTATCCCAGGGCAGAAACTCTACTGGATTCTACTGTATAGTGCAATATTAATGCAATATCACGGGGGTTCCATTCAATTGCATAGAATGCGAGGGAGGTGTGTTTGTGTTTATTTTCATGGTCATGATGTGCATTGAAAATGGCATTTGATTTTGTTTGTACGAGGTGCAAGGACCATCAAAGTAAACTAAGCTAAAATGAAAGCAAAACCAACCTCTCCCCGAAGGAGGAGCTGCCGTCTGCTTGGGACACGTAGAGGGGGCTCCCACTCTCCTCCAGCTCCTGAGCGGTGTCCTCGTCCGAAGACAGATTCGGTGGCTTGAAGCCTTCGGTTATGTCGCCGGGAGAATCCTCTGTCTGTGTGAAAGCGAAAGCGAAAACATTCTCCTCTCCCTTCCCTCAAATTCACTCCTTCTCAGGAGTGGCCCTTCGCGATGGAGAGGGCGCCGGTAAATACAGGTACAGCCCTCAACTGAACAACGGCTCGTTTAGTGACCAAAGTTACGGCGGGAAAAGGGCTTAGTTAGAACTGTTTCTCACATTTAGGACCGTCGCAGCATCCCCGAGGTATTCGAGTCCAACCTCTCCCTGAAGGCAGGAGGCTTTAGGGTCTCCAAACTTGGCAACTTTAAGACTGGTGGACTTCAACTCCCAGAATTCCTCCTCCAGTCATGTTAGCTCAGGAATTCTGGGAGTGGAAGTCCACCAGTCTTAAAACTTGCCAAGTTTGGAGACCCTTGGGATAGATGATAGATAGATGA